TTATTCACTGAAAGGCAATTTAAGAGAACTATACTAAAATATTTAATGTTTTATTAAATAGTTAAAGAAACTATATAAATTATACGAACTATACAAATTAATAAATGTACAACAAAGTCTTTTTTAAATACTAAACAGTATAAAAAGAACTGACAGACTTAAAATCATAGACCTGTACCTGTTACTCTTAAGCAACCAGAAAGTACATGTTTTATTAAATATAGAAATGTAACAACATGGGCACCAGCATATGAAACTGATGAACCGTTATGTTACTTTTTTCTCTCTGCATTCCCACCCCATTTTCAGATGAACATGCAAAAGAGCACTGTGCAAGGCTAGGAAAAAACAGGACAGTCACAGGGTCAGAACTATACCCCCTAAATAAGCAAGTCCTGAAAAAGCTAGACTTGGATATCATTGTTGGAGAAGCTAGTCTATAATTAAATATAGCAAATTTGAAGTCACATAAAAGCTTAATTTAAACTAATAATACAGTCTTTGGCAGAAACAGAGGGAAAAGTTTCATGGGGAAACTCAACTGAAGCACTTAGTACAGATCTTTCTTTGTTAAAAAAATATATTAATCTTAAGCAAAAGCTTCAAAAGATATAATGTAAAATTTGTTATACATGCTGAAATACCTGAATAATGTATGACTGTTCCTTACAGTTAACTCACCTGGGGGAAAAAAGCTTTGGAAGTCCATGAAAATACGTCCAAATCCCTGACTCCTTGGCTAGCATTAAAGATATTCTGAGCAACAAAGTTTAAGAAAGAAAAATATCAACAAAGAAAGGGAACAGGATATCATCTGCAGAAGATGCGTTCACAGTAACAACATTGTTCTGTACTCTAGCACCAGCACCGAAATATCAGTTTACTAAAGGGAAACTGAAGCCAGCTGAGTAAACCACACACCAAAGAAATTCTGATATGTAAGTTTTTGTCAAATGCTCTCCATGATATAGTGTGTCATGCCATTTTACTACAATTAAGAGCCAGACATTGAATTAAAGCTTAAGACAGTGCAAGAAGGAAACTTTAAAACTCCTTAAATGATGACGTATCTGTTCCAATAGAAGCCAGTGTTGTCTCATGACAGAAAGCAGTCTGCTGTTCTATAAAGAAAACGTGAATCATACAGATCGCAGAGACCGTGCAACTATCATCATGAATAATGATGGCATGTAGATATGTGAACTAGTTATCACTTTTTAAAGTACAAAAAAATTAAACAGTAAAAAAAAAACTAAGTCATTTTTCAATTTTGCTCTCTTCTATAAGTGGGGGGAAAATCACTTGGAAATGTTATTGAAAGCTGTTAGCATATTTGTTAAGAAAAGCATAGAGAAAAGCATACAATCTGAACTTCTGCCAAAAGGCATGCCTAGTTTTCTCCATCTCAAAGTTGAGGAAATGCACAGGGCACTGAGGAGCTCTATGTATAGTCTAGAAACATTTTGTTAAAGACCAACCAACTCACAGAGGTATGGTTCCAGAAAAATAACATTTTCACAAAATGTCTTCATGAAAATTTAAGTGATATACATTTACATAGATAAATCATCCTATTGAATATATTTATTTGATCTGAAATTAAAATCTCTCCAGAGAGTAGTAATTACACAATTTTACTGCTTATATAAATACATAAAAAGAGGACATTCAAGATGTTAATAAAAACTGTCATTATCCAAGATTTCAGCACAAAAGAAATGACACAATTATCAACTCTTTCTAAGCCATTTTAGATAACGAGAATTTACTTAACATTCTCTACTTCTGTATTTTCCTCATGTATATATGTGTATGGACAGGTGAAGACACACACCCATATACATACATATATGATGATTCAGAAATATTAGACATATAAAAGCCCCCCAAAATGAGTTCCTCTTAATGTGCCTACAAATAAACGCACAACAAAACAAAAAGCAAAAAATAGAAAACCAAAGCCCCTTTGACATTTAAAAATGCATAGCAGATAGGGTACTTTCTCTTTAGGTGAAGTGGAAACATGCTGCAAAGCATGCTGAAATGCTATTTTCTACGGCCAGGGGGAAGCTGTCATTACTGGTTCATCCCTGTATGTACGAATTTGTGGAGTATTTGCTCAATGGTTTTTCTCCTCCACAGAGAATAGTGCTACAGACCTTTTGACATAAAGCAATTCTCAATTTTTAGCATATTTATTTAGCATAAATTTTTCTAATATTAAAAGCAATGTTGAAAAGCAATGCAGATGAGTTAG